TGATGATTCAGAGTGAGTATAAATAGCAATTGTTTTCTGTTCTGGCCTTCTCCCAGACTGATTCTTTTGTGATGGCAAACTAGGTCATCTTTTCTCTCAGTTGCCTCAGACAAATTGAGACATGGGAAAGACCTTAACTTAAAAAGGCTGTCTCCCACTGCATCCTGGGCCATGGCCAGTCACCTTGATATATGTTTTGCCACTGGACTCCAATGACTTTGCCCAGCCTTGCCTCACTTAAATCCAATTCACTTGAAAGTCAAGACATCATTGGTCTTCTTCAAAAATGAACGACAAACAACAATAGCCAACGAAGGCCTGGATTCAGTGTCTCTGACACTTACTGGCCCTTCTGCTCCCTCTCCTGCCTCCTTCCATCCTCCTCCCACGCTACTCCCCTTTTTGAGAGGATTGTCCTCCACTCCTTCCATGGGATCTCCCCTTTTTGCTGTAATCCATAAATACCCAAGGCTCAGTCAGTAGGGCTGGCTCCTTGGTATGCCTTTCTCTTGTAATAAATCAAGTTACTACCCATGTCTTGTGGAGTCACGACATTTGGTTAACAATCCCTTTTGCTTTGCTCATAATTCAAAGCCCTAGATAAATAACTTTTTAAAATGAACTGAAGAGAGTACAAAGCTCTAATATAAATCAGCCAGTCAGCTTAAGAACCTATTACCTACATTCCATTAGAAAGTAACCTCCTTGAAGGCAGAAACTATAGTTTTACTTTTCTTTTGGTCCCTAGAGTTTAGCACAGCTCTGGCACATACATAGTACTAAGTGCTTAATAAATGATAGTTGACAGACACTGTGCTAGGTGCTAGGCGTACAAATATAAAATATAAAGAATGAAACAATCTCTGCTCTCAGGTAGCTTCCATTCTATGGAGGAGATACAGGTGTGTGCATGTACACACACACACATGCACACACACAGAGAATAAAATACACATGGTATAAATATAAGGAGAATAAATACAAAACAAATAAAACATAATTTTAAAGATCAGACAATAGCAGAGGGATCAAGAAAGGCTTCATGCAAAAGATAAGACTTGAGCTGTATCTTCAAAGAAGAGAGGGATTCTGTGAGGCAGAAATAAGGAGGAAGTACATTTTAAGCATGGAAATGACCAAGGCAAAAGCAAAGAGAAGATAGACAGGGTGCTCTGTGTGAGGAAGAGAGAGAAACTGGACAGGATTTGGGGTGGTGGAAGTAATGTACAATGAAATTAGAGGTACAGTTTGAGGCCAAGTTATGAAAGACATTAAAAGTTAACAGGAATTTATATTTTATCCTAGAGGGAACAGGAAGCCATTGGAGTTGCATGACTGTGGTGGCGGTGGCAGCTGAGTAGAGAACACACGGTTGGATCTATGCATTTAAAAAATCACTTTGCCACTGCTGATGGAGTGAGGAGACACTGAGTAGAGAGAAAATATGAGAGGTTCTGTAGAGACAGAAACAGCAAGAGTTGGCAACTGACTGGATATGCAGGGCCAAGGTGAGAAGGGTTCTAATGGGTGCGCTCTTGCTTCATCTTGCCCAGAACCAGGTCTCCAAAACATTTCCAGGCCATCTTTACACCTTAACTGCCCCTCCACACCTCTTTTTGTGTTGTCTTCTCCAGTTAGAATCTAAGTTCCTTGAGGGAAGGAAGTACCTTATTTGCTTGTATTTGTATCCCTATCTATATGTAGCAAATCCTCTATTTATAACCAAGGTGGCTTTTGGAGGAAAGATAATGAGTTCTTTTTTGGACATATGCAGCTGGAAATTCCAATAGAAAATTGGTGATGTCAGGTGACAGAAAGGGTGGATATACAAATCTGTGATTCATCTGCATAGAGATGATAATTAAGCCCATAAGAGCTGATGAGGTTATCATACTAGCAGAACTAATAGATCCATTCAAGTGGGCATTAAGTTCCACTTTGGGTAATTCCAAGTAAAAATTATTCTTCTGTGGCTGCTGCTGCACTTCCATTGCCATCATGATTCTAATGGAAAAAAGATCTTTCTTCAAGCAAAAGAGATATGTCCGCAGATCCCAAACACTGCTACTCTTGTTGTGAACCACAAAGTATAATGCTATTCAGCATGTTCTATAGTCTGGGACCTCTCTTGCATAGGCTTGCTTCCATAAATTCTTCTACTCTCAAAAACTTCACATCTTTACAAATATAACGAGGAGAAATCGCTTTTTCCTCTTACTCCGAAAGATACAAGAAAAAGGTTTATGCCACATGGCCAGCATCAGCTGCCAAGCAGACGTTATGATGAGGTTATCAAAAGAGAGAATGTAGAGAGAAAAGAGACAGCCACTCCAGCAAAACCTTGGTCAACTCTCAAAAGTTGGGGAAGAGGATATGAAGAGAGCTGTGATTATGGTTAGGGATTAAAGACAGAAATTGGGGATAATTGGCTCCTATTCCACCACAGTAATTGATTAATAATAGAGGGAAAGGAAGAGAAACAGGTGGTGGGATATTGTTAGGCTTAGACATAGCAGTAGGTGACAGATGAATAGAAAAGCTATTAGCCAATCTATCTGAAATAAGAATAATATATAAATATAAGTTCATCCCTATTCAGTGCCCTAGGTCTAGCAAGTAGGCTTCATGACCAATATTTAACCCTGTTCTATGAGTCCTTATATATGGCTAGATACCAGATGTGCTAAGTGCCTAATCACATGCTTTGTCCTCGGTTTTGCTTCCTGGGATGAGCTGGCCACTCTCCCAGTGACCAAACATCCTGAGATAACGAAGATGTGTTTCCTATGGGACAATGCCTCATAATTGGCACAGTGCCTTCTTTGTTTGAAGGAGAACTTAAAGCTGGGCTCTTTCATTCAGACTTTGGAGTCTCACCCGTAGAGTGGATGCTCTGCCCGGGTATTTCCCAATTGGGACTCTGGAGGCTGAACCCCAAGGGACTCCCCAGCGGCATGATCCAGATGTTGGTGCTCTACCTGATTTGGTGATGTATGTATATAAACTTTTATCTACACTTATAAGCAATAAAATATAATCTTTATTCTATAATCCTTATTTGTTGTGTGAGTGTGCATTATTACAAGTGCTATCTGAACCCAAAGTAAATTCAGGCAGGCACATTGCATTAGCAATATACTATCACTGTCAACAAGCATTCATTACACACTTAATATGAACTAGGAATTGTGCTAAATGCTAGAGATTAAAAAACAACAAAAAACAAAAATAGTCCCTAGTTCTTAAGGAGCTCACTTTCTGATGGGAGAGTGGTCCTGATCTGACAACATGTAAGTAAGTACCCAAGATGGAGTAGATGGAAGGTAATGGGGGAGGGGGGTTTGAAAGGGTAGAGTGCTAGGACTAAGTCACTTCTGCCTGCTCCTCCTGTGTCTCTAAAGGGGAGACATGGCAGCATTCAGTCCTCTGGTCCAGAAGGGACCATGGACAAGGCTCCAGGGTCTGTGTGACCCAGACTTGCTTCTCCTTCAGTCTGACTGGTCAGTGGATGCAGCTCCTCCCCGTGGGTGAAGCGCTGAAGTTGGGGGTCAGGGGGTCCTGGGTCTGAACATCTTTGCCCCAATGCTCACTCCCTGTGTGTCTCAGAGTCAAGAACTTGTTCTCTCTTCTTCCTCTGTAAATAAGAAGGGCATCTTTGTCCTGCGCCAAAGCTTAAGACTACTCTGAATGGGCTCCTTGAGGACAGCTGTTCTCATTTTTCTCTTCACATTCCCAGAGATCAGCACAGTGATTGGCATACAGTAGGCACTTAATAAACGCTTACTGAATTGAACTGAATGTCAGTGCTCTGGTACAGACTGATACCAGACTAAAGGAACGTATAACTTTGTTTCCCTCAATTCACCTGTCTATCAACAGGGAACACACTCCCGACGCTCGCTTGGACCACTCTAGCTCTCAGACAAGTGGGCACAGTAAAATCTCTCAACACCCACACACCCATAACCCGGACCTCAAGAACCGCCTTCGAAGCCAATGAGGTCCGAAGATGTGCACCTGCGCAGAAGCCGCCTCTCCCCGCGGCCAAGATGTGCAGTTGCGCAGAAGCCTCCCCTCCCCTCCCCCAAGATGTGCACCTGCGCGGAAGCCTCCTCTCCCACCACCAAGACGTGCACCTGCGCAGAAGAAAGTCTTTCCCGAAGCCCCTTCCCTTCCTCCCTTTCTCCCCACCCCGTGTAAATATAAATGTTTAGATTAGTAGTCCTCTTCTCCCCACAGTTAGCCTAGCCTTAGAGCTATATTTTAGCTAAGGCTGAATAACCGCGTTGGCTTCATTCCCTCGATTCCCGGCATGCCCTGCTTTTTCCTCCTTCCTGGCAAACGTGGTTTAAGGTAACACCTGGCCCAGCCCATGCCAGACCTGGACCATCCTGAGGGGCCTCCTCCGGCCTCCGCGCACCCAGGCTGCCACCAGAGGGCGCCAACGCCCTTCGGTAACCAGACCCTGTAGCAGTCTGTGACTAAAATGTAACAAGCCTGTATTAAGCACTCACAGTGTGCAGGACTCTGCAGAGTCGGGGGTGCAGGGCGGAGGGAAGGGCAGGGAGTGGGGTACAGTGGCTAGGGGGAAACTTACTGCCCTGCAGGGGCTTACTTCACTTTTAAAAACTAGGCATACGTGGAAGGTTTAGAGCTGGAGGGGGAAGAGAAGGCAGGGGAAAAGGAACAAGCATTTATTAAGCCCTTGCGGTGCACTTTAGGAGTGCGTCCAGTTCTGGGATTCTTAACGTGGAATCTGAGAACTTGGTTTTTTTCAGGCATGAGGAAGCAACCTGTGCAAAGGAGCAGGGTGATGGAATGAACAGTGGAGTGGAGATGTGAAAAAGGAGGGATTTGGAGCTGGTTTGGGAAAGGCTTTAAAGTGAAGTTGGGGGATTTGATCTTAGAGGTAGTGTAGAAACCAGAGGGTCTTCCCGACGCCAGGCCAGCACTCAGGCCAGTCCACCCTGTCCGTACCTTTCGTCAGATCACGGTATCACTCAAGTAGATGCTCGGGTAGTTGACTCTGCCGGTTCTGTCTGAGTGGTCCGAGGGAGCACAGGGCTCTGCCCTGTGATGGACAGTCCCATTCCATAATGCTGGAGAGCAAACCAGACTTTCTGTCTGCATCTGTTCATTCTAAACCTCTAGGAGACAAGCCATACAGGAAACAATACTTTTACTGGGCAGTAATAATGTCTAATGTCTCCAGACCACTTTTTCACCTTTATTTTTTGTTAGTTTATTGGTTTTCCTCTTGCTCTTTAGTTTTCACTTCCAGAAACAAGTCTAGGAACCACTTCAGGTGTGGTAACAGGCATTTTTTCTCTTGCAGATTCACAAGTGTTAACCCTCTTAAGAGGTGTTGGTTTGGGAGCTTTCCACCTGTGGGTTTGTGGAAGATGACATGTTCTTTCCATCTTACCCTTGAATGGGCTTTTGTCAGGACCTAAAAAGGTATGAACATGGCATAGCAGTCTATAAAAGCACTTCCGATGGAGATATGGTAGCAATTTGAAGCCTTGGAGTTGTTTCACATTATTAGGTGGTTTTATCTATCTTGCATACCCTGTGTCAGACTGTGTATTACTTTGATGCTGTGTCATCGATACCACCTTTTAACATCAGTAATCCAATTTGATACCCTGGGTAGATGATTCTCCTAGCTGTGTGTGGCATAAAGGAGTGGAGGGTTCTGACCTATAACATAGAATCCTATTCCATGGTGTTGGTAAACTGGGCACTGTCAATAGTCTTTGTACAATGACTGGAGACAAAACATGTGGAAAACAACTAATTTGAAGTAATTGGCTTAGCTATTCTCGTATATTAAAAGGGAGCAAGATATACTGAACCATATGCTTTTTGTTTTTTAGGTGAGATTTGTTTTACATCTGTTGAGTTTTGCCTTAAGTTACTGGCTACTGGAGTGTTTTGCTGTTTTCTAAGCCAGATCTTATTCCCCTAAAATGGACTTTACAGGGATAATAGTGGTTAAGGGTGTTTCACTTGCCCCATGAAAACAATTTTAACCAGTATAACTTGTCAAATTTGGAGAAAATGAGAGAACCAATATAGATGACATAAAATCTGTAATTAGCTAACAACTAGGAGTTAAAAATCTCTACAAGCCTTGTGTTACAGCAATAACCTATTAAGGCATTACTGAATTATAAAGTAGCAGTACTTTTGAGGGGAATGCACCATCTATTGGAGATTGTTGAGCTTTTCTGTTGGTATCCCTGATTAGAGCTGGTACATTTTAGGAACTTAATACACAGAATAATTGGCCCAGAAGCCTTAGGAGATTATTTACAGAGCATATTTTAAATTGGCAGTCCTTAAAAGGTATTAAAAGATCAAAAATTTATTTTAGGCTATTGGCCTGGACTTACAGGTATCTTGTAATAGAAATGGGGTATTTTGATAGCCATCAGGCATTTGGCCTGATAGTTTATAAATTGTCTGTTAGTTGAATGTGAATTACCCAAAATAAAATAGTTTATAAATTGTCTGTTGCTTGAATGTGAATTACCCAAAATAAAATAATTTATTATAAAAATGGAATGACTTTATCTTTATACTTGGAAGAAGTCCTTATTAAAGGTTGGGAATAGAACTTGTTCATTCTAAGATAAAACATTTTATCTTAGAAGGGTGCAAGTGCACAGTTGACACTTGAACCTGATTTTTTTTTTTGATCCTCTTGAATATACAATACTACTTCAGGTTAATTAAAAGGATACTTGATTACTTCTGATTCAGTTTTATAAAGGCAGAGAGGAAAAAAAAATCAAGTTCTTTAAATAATGAAATTGCCTTGTAGACACCCAGATTAACCCAAATTCAGACAGCTGAATAAATGTGTTTCTGGGACCCAAATATATTCTGGGATTACGTTTGTTGCAATTGAGTCTTAATGATGATATCACTCAGTGAGAAGCAAGATAAAGTGGTAAAAATAAAAGGGGCTTGGGGGGGTGATGTGAAGCTCAAAATCTATAAGCCTTTGCGACACTAGCAGTCTTCATACAGTTAGCAAAGCTACCGTGTAGAGAACGTTCCCCAGAAAGGCAGGATCAGGAGTAATGGGTTAAAGAGCAGCAACTCCCAAGAATCTGTTGTATGACCTTCTGCTCCCTTTTGGGGCCCTTACTACTGCTGCAGGAGGACTGGGCATCATTTTGTATCCATGTGGGAGTGAGCCTGTAACATTCTACAAATGAAATACCTTATATAGAAGTATAGAAGTAAATGGACATAGCAGGCGTTGATACTGGTTTTTTCTGAGTTCTGATTTAAGGCAGACATTAAGATAGAGTCACAAAGTAAGTAGAGTCACAGACTGGACAACAAATTCCTCACAAAAATGTGGGTGTACTAGTCTCTACATCCAGAGATATGTATGTTGATGCTTGGAGGTGGCAATGATTCCAAAAATATTGAGCTAACATGACTTCCAAATTTACTGCAGACACAGGTGATGGACCTCATTTTAGGTTCAGAAAATATGGGTCACTAACCATAATGATGTAACTTAGATAAGGCCATGGGGGGGGCAGTTAGGATAGAGGGAGGAAGGTAGGACAAAAACAACCTTTTGATTTCGTTGCAAATGAACTACTACAACATACTCAACAAATGGGTTTCCAGTCTCCATTTGAATATCTCCAAAAGGGGAGAACCTCCTTCTAATTACACTTTAGGATAACTTTGTTAGGAAGCTTTTCCTGACATCAATTCTGATCCAAAATCTGACACTTTGCAACATTTACCCACTGCTTTGTTTTGCTTTCTAGGGTAAAATGAAATAAACTTTAAGGAAGAGAAGGTTTTAGTGTGTATTCTATTTTGGCAACAAATGCCATGGATAAAAAGTGGTATGACTGCCAATCAAGGGGTACCACCATTTGGTGAAAGCTTCGCTCTTATGTTCTATTGAGTCCAGACCTGTTTGATATCTGTCCATCCATACTCTCAGCCATCACAGTAAGGCAGAAACTAAAAGCACTCAGCAGTGGTTATGAAACAACATATTCTCTCCTCACCTTCCCCCTCTCCCTACATCGAGAAAGCAAGAAAAATAGATCCCAATACAAACAGGTATAAGTCAAGCACAACAAATTCTCACATTGGCAATATAAAGTCTCAATATGCAAAATAACTGTTCTCCTTAAGCCTTTCAGAGTGGCAACAACTGCACAGAAATGATGAAGACAAAGGGTTTTGTCTCTGCTCTAACTTGATCTGTTCATAAATGTTATCTGTATCCAACTAGGCAGACAGACAAGCCCACAGAACCACATGAGCAGAAAACATTGCCATGGGAACAGCAGAAAAATACCACCTATTTCCCTGAGCGAGAAGAAAATCTATGTGAAGAAATACAGAATAATGAAGAAGAGGAGAAAGTAAAACCAGGATCAGCATCTGCTTAGCTTGTAACAGGAGTCATTGACAAAAACAGAAGACAGAATATCTGAAAAATACTAGTTATCCACAAGATAAAGATCTTTAAGCTTAATTACCTGTAAAGGTAAATTTAATTGACTTTGCTACTGTCTAAAGCAGTGGTGTCAAAGCTAAATGGAACTGGATCCCCGTCTGTGAGCCACATACTCACTTAGAAAGCCACTTGTTACCATTAGGGTGTATTTTTATTTGTTGTCTTAAACCCTTCCTAAATATATTTTAATTTGATTCTGAAGCACCTGGGAATTTCGCAGGCCTGGCTGGTCAGTCTGACCCCTCTGGCTAAAACAATTCTGTCCCATTCTCTAGAGCACTATTCATGGAGTATTGGTTATTTAGTTCTATGTCTCTTATCCCTCTACAAATCTATAAGCTCCATGAAAAGAAGGCCCATGTTTTATCTAATCAATTCAACTATCATTATTAAGTGCCTGAGATTAGAAAAATGAAACAATGACACAGAATATCCAAAGTGCTCTATAAAATAAGGTAAATAAATTTTAAAAAATAATAGTAAGAATAAAAAAATAAGATAAGTTTCTTTACCATAAAGGCCAGTCTATCACTTGTGACCACTCCACACATGAACACATCCTTGGAGAGAAAAGAGGAAACATCATTCACCCTCAGAAAGCTCCCAGTCTAATGCAGATGTGGAGCCCACCAGTGGATAATCACACTATTAGTTATATCATATATTAATATTAAAATATTTATTGAGGACCTTTATCGTCAGTTGTTGCTTAAATATGGTGGGAAAGGGGTAGTCCCTGCCATCGAAAAACCTACACTCCATCTGGGGTAAAAAATATAATTAATTACATGGCAAATTATCAACATTTGTCGAGTCAAATGACAAGCATGGTAGTGCTGGACTTGGGGTCAGTAAATCCTGATTCAAATCCTGCCTCTTGACACTGTGTGTTCTTGGGCAAGTCACTTAATCTCTCTGATCATTGCAAAATTCTCTAAGATATCTATTAAATTTCAGGTTAAGTTGCAATCTGTGGGCGTCACAGACAAAATCAGAGATCTTTGACGTAGTAACACAAAAATGAAGCACACTCTTAAAAAAACTGAAAACCAATCAGTCTGAGAAAGGAAATGGAGAATGTTTCTACCAGAATATAGGTTTGGGGCTCCATTTTATAGAACCTGAACAGCATGGAATAAAAAGAGGAAAAGTAAGTATTTGAGGGAAGGAAGGAAAGGAGATACCATCCCAAAACATGGGCAGCTCCCTGTCCGATACAGGATATAGGCCCACCTGGAGGGACCACCCACTCTAATAAAGTTTAATTAAATATACTAAGTGTTTGGCCTAGAATAGTGGAGAAATGGAAAGAAACAGACATGTAGCCAAGAGACACAGCAAAGTAAATCAAACAAGTGGTTGAATGTAGGCAGTAAAAGACAGCAATCTGAATAAAGGGAGATTTGCCTTGCAGAGCTTAAAATGTGCTTGGGGAGATAAAACAGAAACAAAGAATGGATTTGAGATATTTACATAGCAAATCATGAGTGATAAAGTTAAAGTGTTGTCCATTTTCTACTAGTGTGACCAAAACATCCACATTCTCACACCTGATCTCTCAGTGAAACTAAAGCAAACATATTTAAGATTTTGGATAAAATAGGATGAGGGTTTTCATCTGAAAACAAAGGTGAGGTTTTTTCTTATAAAAATGAAATTTTCTGTTGTTCTCCATTATTAGTATCACAATCTAAAAGACTGAGTGGATTAAAGGTGAGTGTTTCTCTCCAGAGTGAATTCTCTGATGATGGTTAAAAGTTGAACGCTGACTGAAGGCTTTCCCACATTCCTTACATTCATAGGGTTTCTCCCCAGTGTGGATTCTCTGATGTACAATTAGTTGTGAGCTGTCACTAAAAGCTTTTCCACAATCATGACATTCATAAGGCTTCTCACCAGTGTGAGTTCTCTTATGTACCAAAAGACTTGAGCTATAACTGAAGACCTTCCCACATTCATTACATTCATAGGGTTTCTCTCCAGTATGAATTCTCTGATGTATAATAAGGTGTGAGTTCTGATTGAAGGATTTTCCACAATCATTGCATTTATAAGGTCTCTCTCCAGTATGAAGTCTCTGATGTCGAATAAGGCTCTTGCTCAGGCTAAATGCCTTGCCACACTCACTACATGCAAAAGGTTTCTCTCCAGTGTGAATTCTCTCATGGTCAATAAGTTGAGAACCTTGACTGAAGGTCTTCCCACACTCATTGCATTTGTAAGGTTTTTCCCCAGTATGGAGGCTCTGATGTCTAATAAGGCATTTGCTCCTGCTAAAGGCCTTGCCACACTCATTACACTGATAAGGTTTCTCCCCAGTGTGAGTTCTCTGATGATCAATAAGATTCCTATTAGAACAGAAGGCTTTCCCACATTCATTACACTTATAAGGTTTCTCCCCAGTGTGAAGGATCTGATGTCGAATAAGGCTTTTACTCCGACTAAAGGCTTCACCACACATGTTACACTCATACGGTTTCTCACCAGTATGGATTCTCTGATGATCAATAAGTTGAGAGCTCTGAGTGAAGGCTTTCACACATTCATTACATTTATAAGGTTTTTCACCATTGTGGAGTCTCTGGTGATGAATAAGATGTGAGCTGTGACGGTAAGCTTTTCCACACTCATTACATTCATAGGGTTTCTCACCTGTGTGGATTCTCAGATGTACAATAAGCTGAGAAGTCTGTCTGAAGCTTTTCCCACATTCATTACATTCATAAGGTTTCTCTCCAGTATGAATTCTCTGATGTCCAATAAGGTGTGAGCTCCTATTGAAGTATTTGCCACATTCATTACACTGATAAGATTTCTGTCCCCTTGGAATTTTCTCCTGTGTAACAGTGCTTGAGACAAGACTAAAACTTTTCCAGAAGTCTTTACATTTCTCATCTCTCTCTTCAACAGGGATTTTCTTATTCTGCACTATCACTTCCATAAAATCACCATCAATTCTCCTAACTTCTTCCTCTGGGAGTGCTCTTTGTTGCTGCTCTAAAATGCTTTCCCTTTCACAGGCTTCTCCAGCTTTAGATGCCTGGAAAACATCTGTCTGGAGACCTTCTGATGAACTACTATGTGATTGTGATTCACCAAAAATTTCTTGCTTTGAAGTGGTCTCCTCATTCTCAGTAACATTACCACCTTCTGAAAAATAGAAAATGCAACTGTCACCATTTACATTCTGGCAACAGGAACAGAATCATATCATATAATACTGAAGTGCTCTAGGAACTCATGAATTCCATAGATCTGAAAAGAGGATTTATATCGATGATGTGGGTAGAGAATGAGATGACCCAGCAGAAACAATGCAAAATAGAGCTGCAATTTGTTCACAAATGGACAGTACTGCCAGCAACAGGTGTAGACAGTTAACAATGGTGGGGCAGAGGAAGCTACAGGGATTAGATACAGAGCATGATGCAACAGAGTGTGATGTAACAGAAAAGAATTAGAATCAAAAACTTTGTCCACAAACAAACTCAATGCAACTAGACTAGAATAATAAGAAAAGATGGTCAACACTAGGGTAGGAGGTGTGGGGATATTTCCATTAAATATCGTGTTCACATAATGATGGTGTTGATAATAATAATAGTAAAAATAATATTAATAGCTAGCAATGATATAGTGCCTACTATGTGCCAGGCACTATGTTAAGCATTTTACAAATATTATCTCATTTGACTCTCACATCCACCTCTCACCTGAGGGCTTTATGGAATGAGCTCCCTTAACAGGTAATGAAATGCCCTTCACTAAGGGTGTTCAAATAGAGACTATTTGGGAAATATAAAAGGGAGGGCCATAGGATTTAGAGGCAGAAGAGACCTTAGAAATCATATACTCCTCTACCTTCATTTTACAGATGGGCAGCCTGAGGCCTACGGAGATTAGCTTGCCTAAGAAACACAGCTGGCCAACAGCAAGAGATAGAAAGAGAAATTCCATTTAAACTTACAGAAGACATTATAAAATATTTAGGAGTCTACCTCCCGAAACAAACCCAGGAACTCTATGAACAATTACAAAACACTCTTCACACAAAGTCAGATCTAAATAATTGGAAAAACATCAGTTGCTCATGGGTAGGCCTAGCTAATATAATAAAAATGACAATTCTACCTAAGCTAATGTACTTATTCAGTGCCATACCAATCAAACTACCAAAAAAATTATTTTATAGAGTTAGAAAAAATAATACCAAGATTCATTTGGAAGAACAAAAGGTCCAGAATATCAAGGGAACTAATGAAAAGAAATGCAGGGGAAGGTAGCCTAGACATTTCAGATCTTAAATTGTATTATAAAGCAGCAATCATCAAAACTGCTTGGTACTGGCTAAGAAATAGAGTGGTGGATCAGTGGAAGAGGTTAAATATGCAAGACATAGTAGTCAATGACTATAGTAATTTATTATTTGATAAACCCAAAGACCCCAGCTTCTGGGATTAAGAACCCACTCTTTGAAAAAAACTACTGGGAAAACTGGAAAAGAGTATGGCAGAAACTAGGCATAGACCAAAATCTCACACTATTTACCAAAATAAAGTCAAAATGGGTTCATGATTTAGATATAAAGGCTGATACTATAAGCAAATTGGGAGAGCAAGGAATAGTTTACCTATCAGATTTATGGAGAACAGAAGAATTCATAACCAAACAGGAGATACAGAACATTACGAAAAGCAAAATGGGATAATTCTGATTACATTAAATTGAAAAGTTTTTGTACAAACAAAGCCAATGCAACTAAGATTAGAAGGAAGGTAGAAAATTGGGAAAGAATTTTTACAGCCAATCTCTCTGATAAAGGCCTCATTTCTAAAATATATAGAGAATTAAGTCAAATTTATAAGAATACAAGCCATTCCCCAATTGATAAATGGTCAAAGGATATGAACAGATAGTTCTCAGATGAAGAAATTAAAGCCATCTACAGTCATATGAAAAAATGCTCTAAATCACTCTTGGTTAGAGAAATACAAATCAAAACAACTCTGAGGTACCACATCACACCTATCAGATTGGCCAACATGGCAAAACAGGAAAATGATGAATGTCGGAGATGTGGGAAAATTGGAACACTAATGCATTGCTGGTGGAGTTGTGAAATGATCCAACCATTTTGGAGAGCAATTTGGAACTATGCCCAAAGGGCTATCAAAATGTGCATACCCTTTGACCCAGCAATAGCACTTCTAGGGCTATATCCCAAAGAGATCATACAAACAGGAAAAAGACCTACAAGTACAAAAATATTCATAGCAGCTCTTTTCGTGTTGGCAAAGAATGAAAGGATGCCCATCAATTGGGGAATGGCTGAGCAAGTTGTGGTATATGAATGTGATGGAATACTATTGTGCTATAAGAAATGATGAACAGGCTGACTTCAGAAAAACCTGGAAAGACTTGTATGGTCTGATGCTGAGTGAAGTGAGCAGAACCAAGAGAACGTTGTATACAATAACAGCCACGTTGTGTGATGACTAATATTGATAAACTTGACCCTTCCTGGCAATACAAGGATCTGAGACATTTCCAGAGGCCTTGTGATGGAAAATGCTCTCCACATCCAAAGAAAGAACTATGGAAGTTGAATTGCTATTTTTTTTTCTCTTCTGTTGAGTTTTGTTTCCCCTTTCTGATGGTTCCTCCTATTGGTTTTAATTTTTACTTACAATATCACTAATGTGAAAATATGTTTAATATGAATATAAATGTATAGCCTATATCAGATTGTGCACCGTCTTGGGGAGGGTGTTGGGGAGGAAGGGGGAGAAAAATTTTAAACTCAAAAACACATGGAAGTGATTACTGATAAATCAAAATAAATTGATTAAAAAAAGATAATAAATTGATAAAAAAAAGAAAAAAAAAAGAAACACAGCTGAAATCAGGTCTAACTCCAAGTTAGCTACTCATCCCACTTGGCCAAACTATCTCCCAGTTGACAGATTCTAAGATTTTATGGGTTATGACATTTCTCAATAATGTATTTTCAACATTTTAACAAATGAAGACAGCAGCCATTACAGCAGAAAACAGAAAAAAATCATAAAATTCTATGTGGTGCAGCAAAAGGGGAAGAGACAGCATAGAAAGGATCTATCTGTAAAAAAATATTTACAACTTCCTTACGTGTAATAGTAAAAACTTAGAAACAACTTAAATGTACTAAATGGGTAATGGCTGAATAAGTTATGGTGCATTAATATAACAGAATATTAAAGTGTCATAAAAATGATACATATGAAGCAGAAAAGGAAACACAGATCTATATTAAGGGATGCAAAGCAAAAAAAGCAAAATCATTAGAGTAGTTCTGAATTCCCATATCTATCTCTATAGAGATATTTAGATAATAGATAATGAATAATTTAGATATTAGATAATGGTTAAAAGTCTTGACAAGGCCACAGTCAGTATGTGTCCAAAGAGTACGTGCCTTGAACTCAGGTCCTCATGACTCTGAAGCAGGCTCTCCATCCCTGATGGCCTTATACTCAGCCTAACCCTAGGCACAGTCTGAGCCAAGGCTTCCTTTTCTAACTCCAAAGTCAGCTCTATCTGCTAGGCAAAGGTATCATTATGTGTGTGTGTCTCACGTGGGCACACTCACTGCACCAAAAAATACCTGAATTTGAGATTGACTTTCAAAAAGACACCAGACTCATTTTTGATTGTTAATTCAAATCTACTTTGTCAAGTGCAGAGGGTCGCATAAACAGTTTTATGCCTAATTTTACACACACACTTATTTATTTATCTGTCTTTGTTGCTGGTTAAGTTTATAAGAGGCAGCCAAGCACTGTGGATGCACACAGCTGGTTTCTGAGTCAATAACATCTGGCTCCAAGTCTTACTTCTGACACCTACTGACCATGTGGGAGCGAACAAACCACAATCTCTCAGCGCCACAGGCAACTCTCAAAGACTCTGAGCAAAGAAGGTATTAACTAGGATTAGTAGAGAGTTTCCTAAATGGGAGTTCTTTATGCTAATGAAAGCACATCTGATCCAGAAAAATAAAAAATTCAATAACTAAGTAAATCTGAAGATATAAAGGAGTAAGAATAGGAGAGTCCTCCCTCACTTACCTGTACAGGTGCTTTTGCCACCTTCCAAGTCCAGAGGTCCCTGACGACTTAGGCCCCATGGTTCTTCCTCTCTCCGGGAGATCCCTGTAGGTTTTGAAAACGGAAATCCTGCTTGTGCAGAAGAAAATGTGACTGAATAATGAGTCGAGTCATAGATATCCATTTAAGCCCTATGTCTGGAAAGAACATATAGCGAAGGCAATTAAATGCCCAGAGAAAACAAGAGGGAAGTGGATGACCCTCAGACAGGGGACTTGGAAACCAAGAAGACTGAGGCAGAATCCAGTGATTCAAAAACAGATTCAAAATTGGCTTATTTTATTCTCTCCTTCCTAGTTAGGTAGGAAAAAATCAATAGCAAACTATTCTAGGGGCAAATACTTAGCTTAGAAAAGCTGAGAAAGGGTACCCTAATGAGGTCTTTAGCAAGGGATGAGGGCAGAGAATGTCAAACCACTGATGTATAAAGTAAAGCTGCCAAAGGATCAATAAACTTTCACATACAGAAAGCTTTAAGAAATAATTTCCTGGGATATTATTTCCCTATAGACCTGAAAAACCTTGGAAATAGAGGTTTAGAACTGTCTGATTCCTATTAACCCTTAGTAGCATTGACAGAACCTCTTTATTTAGCAACAGGCATGAAGCAAGAAAAAGCCCCAAAATAAAGATTTTAAAGTGAGCCAATAGAATCATTACCCAGTGATACTACATCCCGATAATTCTCCAGCATCAAATCTCGAAAGAAGGCCCTCTGAGCAGGCGCTGAACTCTTCCATTCCTTCTTGGCAAAGTCCACTGACACATCCTCAAATGTCACCAATTCCTGAAACAGTAAGTTCTTGATGCTCTAAGTATTATTTCAGGGCTCAACTCCTTGCTAATGTCCTACATCACCAGGAAGGAGGGAGGGGGTGTGGGGCACATCTGCTGGTGGACATTCTAAGTGGTTGTGGAAGAGATAATACACAGGAGAAGATCAGCGTCATGTAGAGTTATTTAACAAGAGGGGTCCAGGCATTCAGAGAAGGCAACTGGACTCCTGACAGATGCCTGAATGGGCCATTTGTGGGCAGGCAAGTCAAAGTGCCATGATGACACCAAACCATGACCAACTACTCTGAGGCCAGCCATCAAACCAGTCCGAACTGATCAAATTTCATTATTACATGTACATGTGTGGGTGCTTGTCTATCTGATCTCTTCTCTACCACATATTTACTGTATAATCAGATACAAAAAAAACTAAACACTTTGTTCTATCTTCTTACTCTATTCTCTGGATCTAGTTGCTCCCTGGAGCTTTGCTCCAATCACATCACTGTATATGTTTGGTGGTACAGTGGAAAGAGCACCAGGCCTGGGGTCAGAAAGACCTGAGTTCAAACACTTCCTCGGACACTTACTGGTTGTGTGACCCTGGGCAAGTCACTTAACCCTGTTTGCCTCCATTCCTCATCTTTAAAATAAGCTAGAGAATGAAAAGCAAACCACTCTAGTTTCTCTGCCAAGAAAACCCTAAATGGGGTCACGAAGACTCAGAATGACTGGAAACAAATGAACAAGAAGAAACATGTTTGGGAAAACTTTTTGCAAATAACAAAAGAGAGTGCTTGTTGCTGACAAAAAATGGGAGGAAGGAAGGGACATATCCATCCTTCTAAACTAAACTAACTCTATTTGAACAACTAGGCAATATTTCAAAAAATTGTTTTAATGTTTTAACAAATCTTTGAATTGGTGAGTTAAGAATATATCACATATTGGTTTTCTAGAATGGAAAAATATCTCGTGTGGGAGTCAGAAACTCTAGTTTCTAGCAATAATGTGGCCCAGTGAGCACTGGTCTTTAGAGTCAGGAAGACCTACTCCCACATTTCCCCCCTGACATTCACTTAATTTCTTTGGACCTCAGTTTCTTGGTCTGCAAAATAGCGACAATTCCTTAGTAACTCTCTTCACAGAATTACTCACGCCACATCGAATCTAAGAACTCAAAGGGACCTCAGCAGAAATCAAGCTCAACACATCCATGAAAGGAATCCCAACGAGAGCACACCCAACAAGCAGTCACCCAGCCTCTGCCTCTGTTCCATTTTTGGACAGCTAATTGTCAGGAGATTTCTTCTGGCACCAAACTTCCCCCCATGGTCCCTGGTTCTACCCTCTGGGGCTAGACAGAAAAAGTCTGATGCCTTCTCTATGACATCTTTTCAAATACCTGAAGATGGCTACACTGTCCAAAGATCACAGATCTGGGGATGGAAGAGACACCATATAATGATAATAACAATGGCTAACACTTATATAGCACTTACTATGTGCCAGATACTAAGCACTTTACAATTATCATCTCATTTGATCCTCATGACAACCCTGGGAGGTAGGTGCTATGATTACCTCCATTTTACAGACCAGGAAACTGAGGTAAACAGAAGTGAAGTGACTTGCCCAGGGTCACACAGCTAAGAAGTGTCTACGGTCAGCTTCACACTCAGGAGTTCTGACTCCAGGCCTGGTGCTCTAGCCACTGCTCTTCCTATCTGCCCCTAAGTTTACAGATGAGGAAACCAAGATTAAAATGTTAAAGTGCCCTGCTCATGGTCATGCAGCTAGTATCAGAGGCAGGATTTTAAACCAGGTCCTCCTGGCTCTAAGTCCAGCATGCCATGTAATCTTGAGTCTTCTCTTCCCCAGGCTAATCATCTCCATTGCCTCCAACTGATTCTCCTAGGACATGCGTTGGCCCTGAACCAATTCACCCCTCCTGGGGAGGCCCTCCTAGTGGCCCTCTGCTCCTCTGGGCTCACTGCTCTTCTCTGGAAACTCCCTAGAATATCAACAGATCCAAACCTGAACCCAAGAAAGGAGATGAAGTCTGATGGAGGTCAGAATCCAGTGGACTGCCAGCTCTCTTTTCCTGGAGGCTAGGCCTCATTTAACCAAGTCCAGAATTCTGGCTGCCACAGCTTCAAGTCCACTCAAATCCATAGATCTTTTTTCAGAATAACTTCTAACTATGTCTCCTCAACCGAGTATTTGTGAAATTTAACATCTGTATTCACACGCAAGACTTCACAATATCCTCACTGAATTCCCATGAGATTCAGCCCAGTGTTCTAGCCTGTCACGATCTTTCTGGATCCTAACTCTGCCACTTGGTGTCATCTATCTTTCTTAGCTTTTGCATCATCAGCAAACTTGATAAGCCTCCTATGGCTGTATCCAAGTCATTAATTAAAATGTCAAAGAGCACAGGGTCATGTGCTGGGGTATTTCAGTGAAGACCTCCTGCCATGATGACAATTAACTATAACAAACTAGTCTGAGGCCAGCCATCCAACCAGCTCTGAAATGATCAAATTGCATCATCATCTACTACTGCTAGGTGCTGTGTTTAGCAGGAATAATGAACCCCTTGAAGTGACGGCATCACTCAAATTCACACTGCATACTTCCATTGGGCTAGAACCAAATACCATATTTTACATAATCATAACATCATAGTGCAAATCAGAATCCATGTGAACACTTCAGGGGATTCATTATTCATACTAACTGGCCCCTCCACAAGAACAGGATGAGATAGTTATCAAAAGCCTGAATAAAATCCAGCTCAGACATGCACAGCATATCCTCATCTACTAGTTTTGTAATTTGGTCAAAAAAGGAAATGAGATGAGTCTAGAACAACCAGTTCTGGATAAAATCATGCCAGTTAGCTCTCTGAAATGACCACCCTTCTTTATAGATGTCTGCCAATGATCAGGACTTAATGATTCATTCTAGAATTTTCCCAGGAGTCAAAGTCAAGCTCACTGACCTATACTACGAAGTCTGTTTGCTTCCCTTTTGAAAAATGAGGACACTTTCCCTTCTCCAACCTTGTGGTGTGTCTCCCATTGTCCATAATCTTTCAAATATTACTGACAGTGGCTTAGCAATCACATCTGCCAGTTCTTTCAGTGTCCAAGGACACTGTTCAGCTTGAATTCAGCAAGGTTAGAATTCATCAAGGGCAAATGGATGATTTCTTACTGTGTCCTTACTTATCTTGGGCATCAACTCTTTGCCAACCATTTTTGTTTTGTCATGTCTAGTGCAAAGATCATTCTCCTTCACAGAGAAAACAAGTGGAATAAGAAAGATGAGGCGATGTGTCTGCCTACTATCAGTCCACCCCAAACATATATCCTGTCCCTTCTTTGATCCTTTTCCCCCCATATAAATTAAAACTGAATCTCAAATGAGCTAATGTTTATAAAGCACTTTCCAAACTTTAAAGCGCTATATAAAGGTCAGATGTTAACATCAGTCCCTAGTTTTAGCCACTAATGAGTCTTGGGACCTGACTCCCAGTTACTTCTACAAAATAGAGGTAATATATTACTCCTGTCCACCTCACAGTGTTTTGGTGAGAACAAAATAAGATTGCAAATAGGTAGTATTTTTGTAGTACTTCAAGCCTTACCAGTCACTATCCTCATGACTCATAATCTTTCTGAGCTTTGGTTTCCTCATCTATAGCATGAAAGACTTGGAATAGATAACTTTTTTTTTTTTTTAGGCAATTGGGGTTAAGTGACTTGCCCAGGGTCACACAGCTAGTAAGTGTCAAGTGTTTGGTCTGAGGTCGGATTTGAACTCAGGTCCTCTGGACTCCAGGGCCGGTGCTCTATACACTGTGCCACCTAGCTGCCCCTTGGAATAGATAATTCTTAAAATTCCTCCTAGCTATAAGTCCTGAGAGGTCCTAAGATTACTGCCATTTTACAGATTTAAAAAAAAATGGAGACTCAGAGTCATTAAGTGACTTATTAAAGGTTACACAGCTAGTAACTGTTAATAGCACAGACAAGAACCCAAATGTTTTTAATTAATATCACAATTCTTTTCAAAACAACACATTATCTTCAGTGAAAATAAATTCCCATCCAAATGTATGGTGGTGGCACTATCTCTTGTCATCCAGACCTGTGTTGGATAAAGGCAGACATCCATTTCCAGACAGATTGTGAAATCTCCTACTTTGGAAATTACCATATCTAAGCTAAATTGGCTGTATGATGCTTCTGTAGCTATGAGTCTAGAAATGTCAGCTACTACAAGAACCATTTCCTATGCATAATAATAACTACTGCTTATATTATGAAGAGTTTTAGGCACTTACCACTTTGATCTTACCTCAATAGTACAAAAAGTACTACTCTCATTTTAAAAATGAGAGGAAATGGCTAATGTGGAAATATGTTTTGCATGACTTCATATGTAGAATGGGTATCATATTTCTTGCCTTCTCAATGTGGGGGGTGGGAAGGAAGGATGGAGGGAGGGAGAAAATTTGGAACTGAAAAAAAAGTTTAAAAAAAATGAACAATTAAGGGGCAGCTAGGTGGTGCAGTGGATAGAGCACCGGCCCTGGATTCAGAAGGACCTGAGTTCAAATCCAGCCTCAGACACATAACACTTACTAGCTGTGTGACCCGGGGCAAGTCCCTTAACCCCCATTGCCCAACCAAAAACAAAAAAAAAAAAAAAACCAAAAAAAAATTAAAAAAAAATTAACAATTAAATGTTTACAAATGTAATTAGGAAATGTTTAACAAAACAAATAAAAATACAATACAACACAAATAGATAGATGAATGAGAGGAAAATGAGCTGTAGCTTGCTCAAGGATACACAGCTAAGTGACAGAGCTGGGACCCAAATAGAGGTTTTATGACTAAGGCATGCAGCTGCTCTAGAAAACCTGAAGGCAAAATGTCTTCAAGCCATGGTTACTAAGGGCTCCCATTTTTAAGGTAGTCTCATTTCTGGACTACACCCTAACTCTGCCATGAATGGTTCTCCTTCTCACCTTCTGTCCTAGTCCATTAAGGTGTCTCTGGAAGTCCTCCACCATGGCCACTGCTTCCTCTCCACTTTCTGGACGGTGCAGCTGCACCCAGGTGCGCATCTCCCCAGGCAGGATGGTGATGAACTGCTCCAGCACCAGCAGCTCCAGGATCTGCATCTTTGTGTTCATGTCTGGCCTCAACCAGCGTCCACAAAGGTCACGCAGTTGGCTCAGGGCCTCCTGGGGCCCAGAGGTGTCATGGTAACACAGCTGCCGAAAGTGTTGCCGAAAGACTTCACAGCTGATCTGGCTGTCCTGCTGCAGGCTCGATCCTGGTCCCCGGGATTTGTCCCTCTTCTTCTGGATGCCCAAGAGCTTAGGGGCCAGACACCTGGCTTTCCTCACCTCTGCAGTCATCACAGCCTCTCACCAGAGTCCCTGCCTCTACTTCTAGTCTCAGAATTCTGTCTTGAATATCTCAGGCTCAGGATGACTTCACCTACAGAGATATCAGAAATCACAGTTAACATTGAGAAATAATCAAGTGACAGAGAGTTCAGGTCCAGGCTAACAAAGTTATCTTCACTGGAAGGAAAAACAATATTTCCCATAAGATCAGGGATCTAGAATTGGAAGAAACCGTACAACACTAGTTAGTCTAACTCCCCCATTTTACAGATGAGAAAACTGAGGTGCAGAGAGATTATGTGGTGAGCCCTTATAATGGCAGGAAGGGTCTGAGACAGGATATGACCCCAGTCTTCTTGGCTCCAAGACCAGTTAGTTCTCTATCCACTCAGCCATGCTGGCTCTCACAATGCTCATTCCTTATAAAAGGACAGTCATGAGTGATGGGGGGCAAAGCCAAGATGGCGGAGTGAAAGCAGTGACTTGCTTGAGCTCTTCCCCAAACCCCTCCAAATACCTGTAAAAAAATGGCTCTAAACAAATTCTAAAGCAGCAGAATCCACAAAAAGATAGAGTGAAACAAATTTCCAGCCCAAGACAACCTGGATGGTTGATTGGAAAGGTATATCGTGCCGGGCGGGAAGAGGAGCGCGGTGCGGTGTGAGAGCACGCAGGTGGCAGCGAAACTGGAGCAGGCCTCGGAGGACTGAATCACAGGCAGCTGTGGTGGTTTCCGGACTTCTCAACCCATGAAAGCCAAAGACAACTTAGAAGGTCAGTGGGAAAAGTCTGTGACTTCAGTGAGAGGTAGAAGCTAGGTCTCAGCTGCCCCCAGGCTGCGGCTGCCTCCTGAGCTTCCAGCCCACAGACTGAGGGGGAATCGAGTGGCTGATCAGAGGGGGATTGCAAGGATCTCTTTGCCAGTGCTGAGGCAGGAATCTCTTGCTTTGCTCGTACTTGGATCTGGGTCACAGTTCTGAGGGGTGGTCCTGGGGCAAGGAAGAGTACTGGGGTGGTGGAGCTTGTTGTGGCGGTGGTGGAGAGGAAACACCTCACCCCTTATGAAAATTTAGAGGTCCCTAGAAGTATCTCTGAAAACAGCTGGATAAACCCCCAAAGCATGGGACAGTACATTCTCCACATTGGAAGCAGACTCTTACCTTAACAAAGAGTTTAAAACTCAAGTAATTGGCCGGGATCATGAGTAAGCAGCGCAAAAAGTAAGATATTATCTTACTTTGGTGACAAAGAAGATCAAAACATACAAACAGAAGAAGACAACAAAGTCAAAGCTCCTACATCCAAAGCCTCCAAGAAAAATATGAATCAGTCCCAGGCCTTGGAAGAGCTCAAAAGGAATTTTGAGGAGCAAGTAAGAGAAGTAGAGGAAAAACTGAGAGTAATGCAAGAAAATCATGACAAACAAGTCAGCAGCTTGCTAAAGGAGACCCAGAAAAATACTGAAGAAAATAACACCTTTAAAAATAGCCTAACCCAAATGGCAAAAGAAGTTCAAAAAGCCAATGAGGAGAAGAATGCTCTAAAAAGCAAAATTGGCCAAATGGAAAAGGAAGTCCAAAAGATTACTGAAGACAATATTTCCTTAAAAATTAGAATAGAGCAATTGGAAGCTAGTGACTTTATGAGAAATCAAGACACTGTAAAACAAACCCAAAAGAATGCAAAATTAGAAAACAAAAGGACAGTCCTGCCATCCAGCCTCTGCCGATGGGTAATCCACTTGTCTTGCAAAAGCACATCTTTCTACATTATTCACAACATCTCAACTGTGTTCACTTAATTATTACAGAACCATCTAATTGATTCTTCCACAATATACTACATATGGGGTAGGGTAATTAATCAAGGGAGTTCAATTTGATAAGTCTATCTATTTCCTTAGAGCACAAGCATGTCCAGTGGTAACTTGTTAAGAGGACAGACAACAGCTCCTGATTGGGTTTGACTCCCTCAGAGTTTGTGATAGAGGAAAGAAAAGTCCGGCACAGCATGACCCCAAAACTAGGAGAAAAGAGATTTCAAAGGGTTTAGAAGAAGAATAGGTAAAATTTCAGGGATTAAAATTCTACAGAAATCTTCTCAGAAGGAATGCAAAATTCTTGAGAATACAAATTTGAATACATAAGAAATAACTTTAAAGAAGAAAAACAGGAGGGGGCAGCTAGGTGGTGCAGTGGATAGAGCACCAGCCCTGAAGTCAGGAGGACCTGAGTTCAAATCCAGACTCAGACCAAACACTTAACACTTACTAGTTGTGTGACCCTGGGCAAGTCACTTAACCACAACTGCCTAAAAAAAAAAAACAGATCAATGTGGTTATACAGGTACAACTTAAGATTATTTTTTTTTATATTTTCCCCCACTTAACAGTATTTTATTTTTTCCAATTGCAGGTAAAGATAGTTTTCAACATTCACTTTTATGAGATTTTGAGTTCCAAATTTTTTTCTCTCTCCTTTCCTCCCTGCCCCCCTCCCCAAGATGGCAAGCAATGGGATATAGGCTATACATGTACATTCATATTAAGGCTGGTCTTTAAGATTTAAAAAAAAACAAAACAAAATCACTCTGGCTCTCACTGATTGGCTAATAATAGGTACCAGGCCAAACCCTACTCGGTCACTGTTTGGGCCCTGATTGGCTCAGAACTAATGTACATAACAATTGTTTCTGTTTTGGCCAGAAATCCTGAGGGTCTTCTCCTTCCAGATCAAATTTTTTAAGAGGCCATTCTTTGCCTCATTTCTTGTTATTATGCATTAAACACTGAATGGGTGCTGCCTCAGTCAAACTGAGACCCATTAAAGACCTTAGCTTAAAATGCCAAGGTACCCCACCACATCCTGGGCCATCTCCAGTTGTTCTGATTGATATCTCACCACTGGACTCAAATGGCTCTGGAGGAGAAAGTGAAGTTGGTGATTTTGCACAGCCCTCCCTCACTTAATCCAATTCACCTGAATGTCACGGCATCACTTCCTTGAGGTCATGGTCCTCTTTGAGAAGGACAAACAGCAGCAACAATCATATTAAACATATTTCCACATTAATGATGTTGTAAAAGAAGAATCAGAAAAAAAGGAACAACCATGAAAAAGAAAGAAAAAAGAGAGGGATAAAATAGTCTGCTTCAATCTGCATACAGACTCCATAGTTCTTTTTCTGGATGTGGATAGCTTTTTCTGTCATGAATCTTTTGGAATTGTCTTACATCACTGTACTGTTGAGAACAGCTAAGTCTATCAAAGTTAGTCATTGGACCATCCAACTTATACTTTTAGAAGATAAATGGAGAAGATGAAAGCAAGGACAAGTAAAAGGGCAAATATAAAAGTGTGGCAAGGTCTGATAACAAAGTGATGACATCTATGCAGAAAAGTAAGGAGAACAGAAAAAGTTTTTGCTTAGGTATTCAGGGGGAATAAAGATCAAAGAAGGGTTAGGACAACCACTTCAAGTGGATGAGATCAGGATAACTGACAACAGAGGGAAGGCAGAGTTACTCAACTATAATTTTACTTCTGTTTTCTTTGTCAAGGAGAATCTTTTATACTAGAAATAAAAAAAGGAAAAACAGCTAATGAGGAACTGATACCCAAGATAAGAAAGCACATACCTGCTTTTGATGGATTCAAGATACCTAATTTCATGAATTACACCATCAGGCACTGGAAGAACTAGGAGATGTCTTTGCTTGACTATACATACTTTTTTTTTTCCAGTGGGGGTGGGGAGAAGATAGCTTTGTTTATTGAAAAATACAAAATTAGAAGACTTAAAAAAAAAAACTTAGTCAATGTGACTGCTGGGTCACTGAATCACTGAAAGATGATAGAGGATGAGAGAGATAACAGAACTGGAGAAGGATAAATGCCCGAATTTTCAACAAAGGGAAAAGAACAGATTGTAAACCACAGGCCAGTGAATGTGATTTTAATTCCTGGAAAAAATTCTAGAACACTTCATTGTTGGCTTCATCAAGGACAGATCAGCCCCAGACTTCATTATCTTTTTTGACAGGGTTACTGACCTAGTAGATTGGGGGAACACTGAAAGTACATATAATTTACCTAAATGCTAACAAAGCTTTTGTTAAAGTATCTCATACTGTGCTTAAGCAAAAGATGGGAGGGATGTAGGCTAGATGGCAGTACAATCAGATTAATTTTGACAGAGTTGAATGGCTGATGGCTCTCCAGTGTCAACTAGGTAGGTCTACAGAGAATTGCCCCAGGGACTTACACCTGGTTCTGTACAGTATTACATTTTAAGCCAACAGGTTGGATAAAGGCATGGATGGTATTTTCCTCTGCTTTGCAAATCAAAATTAGCTATCTCAACACTGGGAGAGATCCCTAACATCTTGGATGACTGTACATGACACACTTGTTTTCTTGGGGAGCTGGGGGGGTGTGGGGGGTGTGAAGGCCTGTATCTACTCTCCTCCTCTCCCTAACCTCCCCCCCAGAAACTCACAAGAGCTGACTTGGGGCAGAAGTACAAAGGCAATGCATGTGTTTCCCCCACTATTTACTTGGCTGAACATTAGAATTTTAGAGCATGGACTTTCCCTGTCTAAACTATGGAGCAGCAGAAATGCTATTTCCCATAGAAACAGACTTGTGCTTGCTCACTCTGCTCAAGAGATTTCATGTGCGACGTTCTCGGACCCCACCATTTGGTGTGAGGGAGAAAGGATTTCAGTTTCCTAGGCAGCATTACTCTAGAATCTGGCCTTTTAGACAGAAAAGGGAGATTCTTTGGGCAACAGCAGTCTTGGAGATTGCCAAGTTCAAGAGTTCAGAAGGCTGGGCTTCTAGAGAAGGGCAGGAAGCTCCTGAGCAATATCCCCCTTGGGAAAAAAACAAAAAACAAACAAACAAAAATATATTATTTCTAGTAAGTATTCCAAACTTGATGGGAATGATTTTATTTTTCCCCAGAATACTCAGGTAAAGTTATCTGACACACTTTTTATATGATACTTTAAGAGGCCACTTCTAAAGACAGATGGGTTACCACAAAAGATAGTATGGTAAGAACCCTGCTAGGTTCCATTCCCAGATTATCTGGTATAGGATTTTGAATAAATTACTTGACTTTTCTGACTTTGTTTCCCCATTTCTAAAATGGAGTTAGTAACTGAGAGAAGTCCTTGCTATCTCCTGGGATTTCCTGAAGCTAAGATGAAACAAATGCATGTGAAAGTGTAAAGTACTATACATATACAAGATATCATACCAGAAATCATGTTTCACATTTACATGGTGCTAAACAGCTCATAAAAAATGCTTTCCTCATGGCTTTGTGAAGTAGATCCCCACTTTAAAAATGAGAAAATGAACTGAGAAGTTAAGCAGTTTAACATAGCTACGTGTTAAAGCGGGACTCAAACTCAGTTCTTCTAAATCTTGTGCTCCTTCCATAACAAGATGCTATTGATTTAAAGTGCTATGCTTCTAAAAATAATGTGTAGTAGATATTCACACACCAAGGTTCTAGAAGACACTGTCCCTCACATCCTACAGTTACCTGCTTCCTTGGCCTGGGAAATTCTCTGACCAATACATCCAAAACAAAAATCTAGATCATCCTTTGAAAATCAACTCCTCTTGCTCTTGACTTCTCTGTTTCAGTTACTAGTATCTCTATCCTCCCAATCACTACAAACTTCACACATCTTAAACTAATTATTCTCATCTTCCACATCCAATCAGTTAACAATTCCTGTTGAATTTACCTCTGCCAAGACTTTAGCATTCTAACATTCAACCTGTCAATCTCAACATTCTTCCAAAAAGTCCAATCTGCTCTGATTAATTTGATCCCCTGCTCAAAAACCTTCCATGACTCCATACTACCTGCAATATAAAAGATCAAATTCCTTGTCTGGCAGTCAAGGCCCTTCATAATTTGACATTAACCTGAGTACACCATGTATATTCTCACCTCCCTGCCTTTGCTCAAAGGTCTATTTTCTTGACATGTCCTTTACTACTTATTCCCAACTCTCTTCCCCAGTTACGGCCCTGATCCTTTATCTCAGAACATAAGTACCATCTGGCTATTCCATCTGCCAGGAACTGAACAGAAAGTTTGGGCATCCTTGAGGTGCTGTCCCCTGGAATTAGAATGTAAGGTCCTCCAGAGTAAGGACTGTCTCAATTTTCTATTTGTATTTCTAGTGCTTAGCACAGAATAAGAGTTAACTAAATATTTTTCACTCCATTCCCAGGCCCCCACAAGCCAAGCCCAGCACTACTCTTCAAACTGAAGCTGAAGATAGAAGGGAGGGTAGATTAGAGGAAGGGTATACAGAATACATGCCATCTTGGGGTGGAGGGAGGAATGAGATGGGGAGAAAATCTGGAACTCAAAATCTTGTGGAAGTGAATGTTGAAAACTAAAAGTAAATAAATTTTAAAAATATTAAAACAAATTGAAACTCAAATGCTACTTCTTCCCTCAGGATTTCTCAGGTTCACCACAACAGAAAATTATCTCTACTACTTTTAGATTTTCATTATACCTTATAGTTTCCTATAGTTATTATATTCTGTCCTTATACATTTATTTGTGTACAAAGTATAAGTCCCCCAGAAAATTTAAGTTCTTTGTTTTTGTTTTTTTGCTTTTTGGTGAGACAATGGGTGGGGGGGGGTGGTTAAGTGACTTGCCCAGGGTCACACAGCTAGTAAGTGTCAAGTGTCTGAGGCCAGATTTGAACTCAGATCCTCCTGATTCTAAGGCTGGAGCTCTATCCACTTCGCCACCTAGCTGCCCCAAGTATTGTTTTTGTTTTTTGTTTCTGTTTTTGAAATTTAAGTTCTTTGAAGCAGAGACCTGTCATCTCCTCTTCCTCTTCTTATTCATCACAGCCTATCAGTTACTTGCATGTAGTAGTAGCACTCAACAAATATCTACTGAATTGAGTTCCCTTAGGCAGTCTGAAATATTTGGGGAATCCAGGTTCAGGGAACCCAAAAATACCCAGTATTAAAATTCAAAACCTTTCTCTCAATTTATCTTCCTTGTCAGTTTGATCTTACTAGAAAATGTTATTTATCTGATGCATTTGTTGAGGTGTAAGACTCTTGGGAGCCCTGAAATGCAAGGGTAAAGGGCTCGAGTCTGCCTTGAAAGAATTCAACCACTCAAGCCTTCTTTTAGTCCAAGTAGTAAGTTTTTTAAAACACAGGTTGAAGTGGGAGAGATTCCCAGTGATTCTTTGAATTTGATAGGGACAAGACTGATATTTTTATAGGGAAAAAGATTGTGGGAAGATTTAGATGGGAATAAGAAGTGTCAAGTAAGCTAATTAAGTAAGCAAGATAGGTTGGGGTAGGCTAGATGTCTTGGGTGGAGGCACCAGTGACTGAAATATACGGAAAAATTCAGGAACTGGGTCAAAGGTAACAGAATGAAGGGTTGGGCTGGGGTCAGGGGCCACAATGAAAGGATAGCTGAAAGGATTATACTGGGATGAGTCTGATGCCTCAGACAAACTGCCAAGGATCTGAGGCTGGGCTCCTGAAATTGGTGGGAAAATCCAAGGGGGGAGTTGTCCAGATCCCATACTCTGTCACGTTTGTCTTTTTTTGTTTGTTTTTAATTATTTAAAAATTGCTTTAGCTTGCACACTGCCACAGAGGGTTAAAGCTTGGTGATCTCAGAAACACATCCTTCTGGCTCTACAGCCCAAGAAATCTATTAAACGGTCCTCTCTAGTACAAACTTTAGAAAATGCTTCAAATCTCTCCCCACTCCAATCCATCCTCCACTCAGTTGTCAAATTAATCTTCCCAAAGTGTAAGGAGGCTGGAGATACCAGGAATTGAAACAGAGAAGTCAAGAAAAGGAGGGGCCGATATTAAAAGGATGATAACCTGCTCATGTCACCCTTGTGCTCAAAAAACTCCAGTGGCTTCCTATCAACTCCAGAATCAAATATAAAATCCTGTTTGGCATTCAAAGTCCTTCACAACCTGGCCCCCTCCTAACCTTTCCAGTCTTCTTCTACCCCACTCCTTTCCAAGTACTCTGCCTCTAGTGACACTGGTCTCCTTGCTGTTCCAAGTCAACTCCAGACTCCAGGCATTTTCTTTTCAAAATAAATTCATTATTTATTTATTTTTAACATTCATTTCGGGGAAAATTTGAGTTCTGAATTCTCTCCCTCTCTCCTGCTCCTCCCCCATTCACTGAGAATCTCCAGGCGTTTTCAATGGCTGTTCCCCTATTCTTCCTGCTCATCTCCACACTGGTTTCCCTAAAGTCCCAGCCAAAATCCCATCCTAATCTCCTTCCCTCTGCTGATTATCTCCAATTCATCCCGTATATAATGCTCGTTTGTGCAGTTGTCCGCATTTTGTCTCTTACGTTAGACCGTGAGCTCCTTGAATGCAGTTTTTTGCCCGTCTCTGATTGACTTCTGTAAAGCTACTTTGGCCAGGTTAACAATGATGACAGCTGACGTCTACGTAAAATCGACTTCAAGCCTTACAAAACACACTACACAGATCCCCTCCGATCCGCACAAAGGGCCGGAGGCAGCGGGAAGGGCAACGTCGGTTTCTGGGGTCCCCGGGGGTGAACACGTGAGAACGGGGAAAGTCGACCCCTCCGCACCCAGCCCAAGGCAGCCTCCACCTAGGGTCCCCAAAGAGGGAGAGGGAGAGGGGCGGGGGTGGGGCAGGAGCTAGAGCGTGGCTCCTCCCAGCAGCCCCTGCGGTGGCTCCTCCCCCGCCCTCCTTCAGTTCCTCCCCACCCCACTCCAGTGGGGGAGGGGGCGGTAGGAGGAGGGAGTGGTTCGACCCGCCCCCTGAAGGCCAGGATGGAAGCCGCACAGGCCGAAGACTCCCCTTCACTGTAGCCTGCCCCGTTCCCTGAGACCCGGGCCCACACTTACAGGGAACAGCGACTGAGCGACCTCCAGGGTCCCGACGGGGAGGGAGAGGAAAGGGCAGGGCAGAAGACGAAGACCTCCGCCATTCACGGAAGGATAAAAAGAACAATGGCTGACCGGAAGTAGGTGCCGGTCATCGCCTGGCTCTACAGCAGCTTCCGGCTGCGCTCTAGGAGCCCTGGAGGTGTCGGCGTCTCGTTTGCTTTTTGGGTGGGAAACGGGAAGGAAGGAAAGGGGCAACCCAAGGGGGAAGCAGCCTAGGGATGGCCGCGCGTCAGAGGATCGGGGTTTGGACCTACCTGCCCCTTTCTAAGCTACGGCTCTCTCCCCCGAACCTCAGTTTCCTCGTCTTTGACATACGAGGGGATAGGACCAGATGCTAAACCAAACCTTTTAAAGCCAAGTTATAAAAACGGTTTTCACCAAAAGTGAGAGAGTCGTCCCTTTTCTCATAAATAGTCCAAACTTGACTGTGCCCACCTATAACAAGACAAGTGTTTGCATGTCTCTAATTTAAGAATGGCTCCTTTCCCCTTGCTCCCATTCGGACCCAGCTCCTCCTCTTTTGCTGTTGTCGATAGTGTCATAAACACAGGCTCAAGACTAAGGCTTTTAGTTCATCTACGATATGAACTGGTTAGGTTTTTAATGCCTTTTTTAAGTTTAATTTTTTTTTCTATTATCAAAAATTCATTTTCTCTTTCCATTCCCTTTCTCTTTGGTTCAATTCAACAAACATTTCAATTTCATTGAATTTCTTTTGAATTTCAAACAATTAAAGTATAAAGTCACGACTTTGAAAAAGGCACAGTGCTAAAGAAGGGATAAAGGAGTGAATATGACAGTTTATGTTCTCAGCGAGTTTACTGACTAGCTGAAGGAGTCATGCATATACATTATCAATTAAGTATTAATAAGTGCCTATGCTGTGGCACGCACTATGCAGGGTGGGAGGGGACGTAAATACACAAGTGAGACACTAGTCTCTGCTTTCAGGGAGTTCACATTCAACTGTCGTACAAGTTAGAAAATGTTTATTCTTTGAGAATCCCTAGTTCTGTCAGTGTGGATACTCCTTAAAACTCAAACTACAAGCCCTTTGCAACTTAGTAGATGGTTTTTGAGGGTTGGACATGATCATTGATCTGAGGGGAATTTTTTGTGATGAGTTTCTCAGAACTTAGGTAGACTAGTAGTGCTTGGACAAGAAACCTAGAGGTCATCACAGGATCCATGTTTAAAGTCCTTGCAATTTGATAGGACCATACAAAGCTTTTAATTGTGCTGGCAGAGACTCCAAGAAGCTAGTCCTAAGGTCATAAAAGAAATCTTGAGTGCCTTGATGGGTCAGATATTCATTGCTCGATTATAAGATAATTTGATTGAATTATCTTATAAATCCATCGGGTGTGTGTGTGTGTGTGTGTGTGTGTGTGTGTGTGTGTGTGTGTGTGTTTCTAGTACTTCATTATGGATTGCTTGATTTTTCTGAGATGGAGGTAATAGTTCTATTGCTTGTTTTACTAATTTGGTATTTTGTATTTTAGCAGCTAAGCATCCATTTCTTTTAAATTTTCAGTTTGGCTGTCATGTAATTGTGTAATTTCTGATAATTATTTTCTCCCTATTCTGAATTCACCTTGCTAATTTTTTATTTTGGCAACTTAATTTTCCTCTTTTAAAAAAATCATAAGCTAATGTTTTATCTATTTTTTAAAGAAAAAAACAACTGTTTTGTCAATTAAACTTTCAACTTTCCATTTTATCTGTAACCTCCAATTGTCAGGAGTTCTTTTGGGTACATGTTGAGGTTAACTTGTTGATTTTTTAGTTTCAAAATGCATGCTTAGTTCATTGATCCACTTTTTAATTATTATGAACGTTAGATAATCAACATTAACTTTTCAGTACACAAAAAAGATTTGTATATGAAACTATGAAATTGTTTGTTTTATAAAAAACAAATTCAACACAATGGTAACAATGCCCTGCTTGTGTCCCCTTCTAAACTAGTCCTTCTTTTCTATGTATTTTTTAAGGTTTTACTGGTTTTTTTTTCCCTTGCACCCTGTTACTACCCACACACTCATGCCCTTCATACAAACTATCCCTTGTAACAAATGAAACAAATGTAGTCAAGCAAAAAAAAAAAAAAATCAACACATTGACCATATGAAAGTATATGTTCCATTGTGCAACTCTAGTTCATACCTCTGCAAATGAAAACAAACACCACCTATGCTAAGAACGGTAAGTTGTTTCTCCTTATATTATTGTGGTGACTGTGCAAATTCCTCTCTTGATTGTGCCATATTGCACTCTAAGAAGTGACACATAAAAGGGAACAAAGAAATCTGAAAAGATTTGCAAGAGGGGGGCAACTAGGTGGTGCAGTGGATAGAGCTCCAGCCTTGGAGTCAGGAGTACCTGAATTCAAATCTGGCCTCAGATACTTGACACTTACTAGCTGTGTGACCTTGGGCAAGTCACTTAAAAGCAAAAAAAAAATAATAAAGACTCGTAAGAGGCAGAGGAAGTAATCAAGATCAAGAGAACTTTACTACACAAATTTACTACACAGTGACTACAATGATGTGAAAGAAATCAACAATGAAAGACTTCAGAATTCCGAGAAATGCAATGATGAATCATTACTTCAGAGGAAGTGATGGTGAACTAAGCCTCTTGCCCTTCAACACAAGGATGGTAGACAATAAGTGCAGGAACGAGGCACATATTTCAGACATGTTTCCCTTGACTGTACTTATTTGTTACAAGAGAGGGTTCTATGGAGGGAGATGGAAAAGTCAATGGGAAGTGACAGGGATACAAAAAAAAATTTAAGAGAGCATCACTTTTTAAAACATTTTTTAAAAATCAGTGGTAGACTAAGCAATTGAAAGCCAAAAAAAAGTAATAAAACAGCTGTTTTTAAAAGACCAAATTGATAAACCATTATATAATTTAATTTTAAAAAGAAATCAAACTAAGTATATGTGTGTATACATTGAGAAGGGAACTTAAAATTTTTATAATAATCAATATGATATGTGTAATGAATATACTAATATTTTAGTTTTCTCAGGAGCTGCTTGGGAGTCAGCTTACAATGCAGCTTAAACTGATTAATCAAAAAATCAAAAATCAAAAAAACTCTGACAATGCTCACAATCACAGGACCTTAAATGAATGGAATCAAAGATTGGTTCTGTACTTTAGGGGAAGTGGTCACAACCCCCAAAGACTTGACTCCAGAATTGTTGTATTGTGGGACTTATGCAAACAATTGTTTGCGATCCACCTTCCCTCCTCCTTCCCCAGTTGTGATTTAAGTATATAACCTGTGCTTTTACTTAGCAAAGGGAACATTACTCACTCTGAAACTGATTAATTAAACTGCTTGATTACTGGCATTCCCATCTTTAGGCCTGCATTGTGTGGCTCCGAGCATTCTCAAGTTAAAGACCGGCTCAGTAAAAATCCTGTTAACAACATATATATGTATATTCACAAAAATCCTGTTAGCATATATATATATATATTTATGTATATTAGTATAAAAACATAGAACAGAACATCATGTACAATGTATAGGAAACGGAAAGAACTCAACAGTCATCTCCAGAAAGAAACTCCAAAATAAAAACTGCCAGGAACATTATAGCCAAAATCTAAAGCTTCCAAGTAAAACAAAAAAACAAACAAACAAACCACAAAATACTGCAAACAGTCAGAAAGGAAGAATTCAAGCACCAAGGAGCCATAATCAGGATTACACAAGATTTAGCAACCACCACTACAAAGACAAGGTGGGATTGAAATATTCCAGAAAGCAAAAGATATAGGCTTTTACTTACTCAGAAAAAGTCTAATCCTACAAGAGAAAAAATGGACATAAAAAAATTTCCAAATATTCCTGATAAAAACATCAAAGCTGTGAAACTCTGAAATACAAACCCAGGAATCAAGGGAAACATAAACAAGCAATCATAAGGGACTAAACAAGGATGAGCTGTTTAAATTCTAATATGGAGAGACGATATATTTGTCTCTGAAGAATCCTATCATCAGGGCTCATAGAGGGAGTCTAGTAAGACAGAGAACCTGGGAATGGTTTTGTTATGTTTTGATATTTAAAAAAGAGAGAGATAGAATACTATGGTTGGAGAGAGGCAAGGGAGAGTCAAAGAAGAGCAAGGAAAATTAGCTTATAATTTGCATGCACAAGTGGAAGCCTAAGGAAACAGTAGGGAGAGCAAGTGACACATTTTATTTCCATCATAACTGGTCAAAGTAGAAAAGAACACAAAGAGACAGGTATAAAAATATATTACCCTAAATATATTTAAGGAAATACAGAAGAAAGGGTAATAAGAGATAATAGATTAAGAGAGGGATTAGTCTGAAGCAAAGCAAATTCTAACCATTGAGGTTAGATCATAGAGTTTTAAAAGGAAAGAAAAAAAAAGATAAAAACCTGTCACTGGGCTCTAGGTGAGGCAAAAAAGTGCAGTGGAGAAGCCAAATGCCTTAAATCTAGGGCAGTGGTACTCAGCGCTTTCCATTTTTTTCCACCATCCTCTTCTTTATTAATAATGATTTTAAAAATAATAAAGGCTAGAACTGGTGTAGCATATTGGACTTTGCAAGTAATTTTACAAATGATTCATTTTATCTTCACAATGGCCCTGGGACATCAATGATATTGTTGTCCCCATTTTGTATATGGGAAAACTGAGGCAGTGTCTGAATGATTTGCCCAGTGTCACATAGCTGGTGGATGTCTAAAGTCACATTTGAACTCGGGTCTTCCTGTCTCCAGGCCCAGTATGATCCACTGTGCCAACTAGCTGCCTAAAGAGAGGGCAGGAAACTTTTATCAACACAATGACCAACCAAGATTCCAGATGACTCATGATGAAACATGCTACCTACCTCCCAAGAGGTGAAGGAATCAGGATGTATGTAGTGTGAGGCTATATATTTGCTACAAGGGTTTTGTTTTTTTTTCTCTTCCAATTGGGGGCAGGAAGAAGGGGAAGATAGTAGGAAGAGGTGGATTTCATCAATTAAGTTTAAGGAAAGAATGGAGCTAGTTAACTGGAAATAATCTTTGCAGCATGCTTATATGCACATTTTTATATCCCTTTGGGCATAGTTCCAAATTGCTCTCCAAAATGGTTGGATCATTTCACAACTCCTCCAACAATGCATTAGTGTTCCAATTTTCCCACATCTTCTCCAACATTTATCATTTTCCTGTTTTGTCATGTTGGCCTTGATTACAACTTATAAGAATAAAAGCCATTCTCCAATTGATAAATGGGGGAGAGACATCAATTGGGCTAAGGTTAAACAAACTTTGTTATACAAATGTAGTGAAACATCATAGTGCCGTAAGAAATGACACAAGGGTAAGTTTCAGAGTAACTTGGGAACTTATATGAACTGATACAAAGTCACATGAGCAGAACTAGAACAATTTATACAACAACATTGTAAACACATTGTAAAGTAACTTTGAAAGACTTAAGAACCTTGTTCAATGCCAACAACCAATTACAATTCCAGATCACTGATGAAGAGGTAACAGGCTTCAGATGGAGAATGAGACATTTATTACATATCAATGTGGGAATGTGTTTTGCTTGAATACATTTACTTCTTACAAGGCTTGTATTTTTTTTCTTTTTGCAAAAGGAAAGGGAAGCAGAGAAAGCAAATAAATGCTTTTTTAGTTGAAAAAAATTTGGAAAAAATTTTAAATCTAAATAGTAGCAGGATGATATTACTACAACTTTGTTATGTCAATATACTCACTTTTCTCTAAGAACAGACAAATAACCGATGTTTATATTTACACATATCACTTTTTTTCTATTTTGGGTCACAGGTTTGAACATTTGTTCTTATGAAAGTTAAATTTAAAAAAATTGGGGGGGGAACAGATAAGAGAGGGGAGAGACCTGAGAACTGAATAGAATGTATTCTTTATTCATAATATTTTAAAGTTTTCTCCCTTGTGTGAATTTTCTGATGTGCAGCAAGGTTTTGGCTATATTTAAAGGCCTTTCCACACTTAATACATTCATACGGTTTTGTTGCAGTATGAATTCTCTGATGGCCAGTAAGATTTGGTTTAGTAGCAAAGGCTTTTCCACACACATTACACATATAAGGTTTCTCTCCAGTATGGATCCTCTGATAGCAAGTAAGATCTGAGCTGCGTTTGAATGTTTTCCCACACTCTCTACATTTAAAGGGTTTCTCTCCAGTGTGAATCCTCTGATGGCAAGTAAGATCTGAGTTGCGTTTGAAAGTTTTTTCACATTCATTGCATTTAAAGGGTTTCTCCCCAGTGTGGATCCTCTGATGACAAGTAAGAATTGAACTACATTTGAAAGTCTTCCCACACTCATTACATTTAAAGGGTTTCTCCCCAGTGTGGATTTTCTGGTGATCAGCGAGGTTGTTCTTATGAGTAAAGGCTTTGTCACAATTATTACATTTAAAAGCTCTCTCTCCAGTGTGAATTCGCTGACGTACAAGAAGTTTGGATCTGTAACTAAATATTTTCTCACACTCATTACATTTATAAGATTTCTCTGTATTGTGTAGTCTCTGATGTCTAATGAAACTTTTCCTCAAAATGTACATTACCCCACAGTTACTACATTTGTAAGGATTTACCCCAGTGTGGATTCTTTGATGATCAATGAAGTTGCTCTTATTAGCAAAGATTTTGTCACATTCATTACATTCATAGGGCTTCTCCCCAGTGTGAATTCACTGATATATCAAAAGACTAGATTTGTAACTGAATGCCTTTTCACACTCATTACATTTATAAGATTTCTCCCTATTATGGAGTCTCTGGTGGCCAATAAAACTCTTCTTCAAAATGAACGATTTCCCACAATCATAGCATTCATAGGGTTCTCCCCCAGTGTGGATTCTATGATGATCAACAAGGCTGCTTTTAGTAGCAAAGGCTTTGTTACATTCCTTACATTCAAAAGGCTTTTCCCCTGTATGGATCCTCTGATGGCAAATAAGAACTGAGCTATGTTTGAAAAATTTTCCACACTCATTACACTGATAGGGTTTTTCCCCAATATGGATTGTTTGATGATCAAGAAGGTTTCTCTTACTAGTGAAGGCTTTATCACAATCATCACATTCATAGGGTTGCTCTCCAGTGTGGATTCTCTGATGTACCAGAAGTTTTGATCTGTAACTAAAGATCTTATCACACTCATTACATTTATATGCTTTCTCCCAGTTGTGGACCTTCTGATGCTCAATGAAACTTTTCCTCAAAAATAAAGTCTTCCCACAATCGTCACATTCATACAGTTTTTCTGCAGTGTGAATCCTCTGATGATCAACAAGGTTGCTCTTATTAGTGAAGGCTTTGTCACACTCACTACACTCACAGGGTTTCTCCCCAGTATGCATTCTCTCATGTACCAGCAGGGGGGGCCAGTAACTGAAGAGTGCCCCACAATCATTACACTTTTATGGACGCTTGCTACTGTGAATTTTCTTATGACTGAGAAGATGAAGACTCTGGTTGAACTGTGTTCCACATGCTTCACACTCATAGTCTCTCTGGCATCTAGAAATTCTTTGATTTATAGCAGGATTAGAAATGAAATTAAAGCCTTCCTCAATCTCCTCACATTTTTGACCCCTTTCTTCTCTGGAGTCTTCTTATCCTTAACTATGCAATGTATGAAATCTCGCTCTTCTTTTCTTGCTTTCTTCCATTGTTCATTTCTTTGTTGCTCTTTTAATCTTTTCTCCCACTCACAGATTATTCCTAATTCAGGTACCAGCAAAATATTTCTTTGGAGTCCTTTAGCTGTTATTTCCTGGAATTTTACTTCTTCAGAAATTTCCTGCTTTTGAGTTCTTTCATCATTCACAATTGTAGTCTTGAATCCTGATAAGTAAAATTAAAAATACAAATGTCACCTTTTTCCAGTTTTAATTAGGGAGTTTAATCAAAATCTAGAGAACAGCTTAATAATTATGGTAAACTGTGAAAAGACTGCCTATTGCAGTGGGGAAAGTGCCATTTTGAAGCTTTTTTACTTTGCAGAATGTGAAATCAAAAGAAGGAAAGATAAAGGACAGTGCGAAGACATATGTTCAAAGAAAGGAGAAAGGCCAGATTAATTGAGGAGTGTGTGTGTGTGTGTGTGTATACACATATACATATATACACATACTTAGTATATACTGAGTATATATATGTATGTATACACATGGATATATACATACATAGATATGCATGTGTGTATATCTATATATCTATAACTATATAAATACATAAAAGCACTGTGGGACAATTAAAATGAAAAGTGGAAATGAAGGAAGCATACTAAGGTGAATGAAAAGGAGAATTAAGGATTGTGGGAAAGGATCAAATATTGTCCAGGAAAAAAGAAGTCCCTGCTTGGAAGGAATAAACAAGCATGACCAAGGAATTAGGAATGGTAACTAGGAGAAAGGAGAAGATTTTGTTTTGTGGTTATTCTGCTACTCCCTAGCAATGGCAGTTTTCTTAAAAATACAGTTCCTACCCCCAGTTTTCAACAAATACATTTCTGAGAGGAAACAAGAAGAAGAGAAAGTGAATTTCATTTCTTTTGTCATGAGGGTCAGGGGTATTTGGGCAATGCTGCCTAAATCCTAGAGGTTGAAAAAATAAAAGAATGGCTTCCTTCATTTTCTCTCTCTCTCTTTTTCTTTACTTTGCTAAATTATTTATTGTTTCAACTAACTTTTTTTTTGTAAGTTTTAAAATTTATTTTAAACTTAAATACAAAATAAGAAAAACACATTGCCATGTACACAGCAGAACATAAGAGAGGATTCAAGATAAAACAATAAATTTCCATTTCAGGAAAACTGATATAATAAATACTATACATTGTTCTCATAGCTGTCCAACTTTTCTTTGCTTCCTTGTAGATTTTGTTTTGCTTTCTGCTGTGTACTTTTTATTTTATTTTTTTCCCCTTCCTCCTCCCCACCCAAACAAGGGTACAAGGCTACAATTAAGCAAGGCGATATATACATATATATAAATAAATATATACGTATACATATATACACACACACACATATACAGAGATATCTATAAACATGCATATATACATATATATACTCATACATATATGTAACATGTTTATTTCCACTTGTCATCTGTTTCTCTGAAGGTGGATAGCATCTTTCCATGTTTTTCTAAATCAACCAAATTCCTTATAGCATTATAAAAATACAAAATATGTTCACCAAATAAAAACACGGTATCTTATTTGATTGAGTCTTTTCTCGTTCTCATTTCCTGTCTCTGCATATTGATACATTTTTCTAAATACTAGAAACAATTCTTTCTGCAGGGAAATGCCTGGGCTATTTTTGTTACTAAACTTCAGCACATGCTTTTAAGATGAAGGTTTATTTTTTCGATAGAATTTGAAAGGCTTCAGTCACACGTGAAGAGCTATTTCCAACTTTACTGGTATTGTTCACTTACGAGCTATACTGAAAAGCCCTTCTGACATGCACCTAAATAACATACATAACTTTAAACCTGGAAGGAGTCTCATAGGACATCAAGTTCAAATTACACCAAAACAGGTGTCAGCTCTATGACATCTCTGACAAATAGTCATCCATCCTTTGGCTGAAGAGCTCTGGTTAATGAGGAAGCCAATATCTCTGGTGGCAGCCCATTCCATTTTTAGAGAGAATTATAATTGGGAAATTGTTTCCACATGACTTGCTGAAATCTGCTTTTCTGTAACTTTCCCTTACTGCATAATTCTGCCCTTTGAGGACAAGTAGAACAAGTCTAATCTCTCTTCCACATGACACACACTCAATCATACCCTAACCTTATGACTCCCAAGCCAACACACAGATGTTTCTACAGGTACTAAAGAGACTGAAGCAAAGATACCCCAGTATATAGTTCCCAAGTTAAAGGGGCAGAGAGGCCTTACCCAGGGAAGCTAGGTTCCCCTAATTCTCCAACATCATGTCCCTGTATAGAGCCCTCTGAGCTGGGGCCAGATCTGCCCATTCCTTCTGGGTGAAGTACACAGCCACATCCTCAAACATCACCAACTCCTGAAACATGTTCTTGCTATCCTAGGGACAACCCGATCTATCAGTTTCTGTATGAGGTACAAAAGCAACATCATGAGGGTGGGGTTGTCTATATGGAGAAATCAAGAAAGCACCCTATGTGAAAGATGATATCTAGTATGCGGATCACACAATGGAGTGGGCTGTTATTAGACTGAGAAACCTCAAGATGAGGAAATATGCTACAGTCACACTTAGGAGCAAGGAACAGGACCTTAGGAAGGTCAGAGGGAGCCATAACTCACCAAGACCTTGGCCATCAGAGGCATGACCACCTTCTCCTGGTCTTCTTGGATCTTCTCTTTGGGAAAGATAGGAATCTAGGGAGTAGGAAGAGCTGAAGGAGAAAGAAACGTAAGGAAATCCTGACCTGAAATTCCCAAATGAGGATCACTGTCTTCCTTACACAGAGTGGATTCCTAAGTATCTAGAAAACGGTCCTCCCTACTACCAAATTGACTTATGAAATTAGGATTCTTAGTATCATAAATTTAGAGTTGGAAAGGACCACAGACGTCATCTAGTCCAGCTCTCTCATTTTACAAATGAAGAAACTGAGACCTAAAGTGATTGAATTGCCCGTGGTCACATGTGTATTAAGTGGCTGAGCCAGGATCCAAAATCAGGTTCATTGATTCCAAATCCAACTCTCTTTCCATTCCACCATATTGCCATCTCTTGTCAAAATTGTCTCCCAATTATTCCCTATGTTTATGGCAATGTTCCCAATAACTTAAGACAAAGACAGTGGAAAGCTGCAGGAAGGGACAGAAAGAATAGGAAATCACCCAAATGTGTACAGAAATGGAGCAGAGTTCCAGTGACTTCCAATGGGAAGAGCAGATGGAAAAGAAGATACTCAGTAGGACAAAAGGAGAAATGAGATGGCTGAAGAGATGATCTCCAAGGCTTCTTCAAGTTCTGTATCGTGCGATTCTAAGGTAAATGTGAAGTTGAGGTCTGGGAATGAAAGCCCAGGGAAGGGGTGCAGAGAGTACCACATAGACTACAGCTTTGCCAAGGCACAGCCCCACAATTACAAGGATCCAGGAAGATTTCAGCTGATGAGCAGCCTCTCAGGGATACTGTAGAAAGTGCTTCTTCTACTGTTTCCAGGATGGCTGTCACTGCCAAAAGCACTTTCTGTACCTGGGAAGGGAATGGGAAATGTAAATATATGGGATGAGTGTAAGCAAATCTTAGTGAAAACTATTCTCTAAACCTCAGAAGAGACACCATGGAGAATAGGGATGGGTAGGGAGGATATTTGACTCATGTGACCTTGGGTAAGTCACTTAACCTGTCTGCCTCAGTTTCCTCATCTATAAAATGTAGATAATAATACCTAGCTCCTAGGGTTTTTGTGAAGATAAAATGAGATAATTGTAAAGCACTTTGCAAACTTTAAAGTACCATATAAATGCTATTATTATCCAATTCAGGAGATGACTTAAGCTATCAATACTTCATGGCCTTAATCGCTCCCCACTAGGCTCTTCTAGGAACTTGTCCTAGCAATAATTTCTTCTACCTCAGTTTTATTAGTACTGGCACCCACCCTACTACTTACAATCATGTCCATGATCTTCCCTGCTTTGTGAATTTTTGCACATCCACTTGGCCAATTCTGCTTTTCAAGCATTCCTCTCTTCACTGGATTTTTGTGCCTTCGTATAGTACTCAAGAACATCCACCATCTGGCCCCTACCTCCTTTTGTACCCTTATTGCATATTACTCTCACATATGCAATCCATGTTTCAGCCAAATAAGACTACTTCCTTCCTAGCTCCCCATTAGGCATGCCAACTCTCATTTCCACGCACTCACATAAGCTGTACACAATGCCTGGCATGTATTATTACCTCTGTCTTTGCCCTTCAGAATCTTTCTCTTCCTTCAAGACCTAGCTCAGGTCTCACTTTTCCCATGAAGTTTCCTGATCACCCCCTACCCACCATTTTTAGTGTACTCTCCCTCAAATTTTCCTGTCTCATAATCTCCCCCACCTCCTTTCCTACCTTGTATTATACATATTTATGTATACCACCCCCCACCCCCCAGGAAAATATCAGCTTCTGCAAGACAAGGGATTATTTCATTTTGTTCCTTTTAATTCCAAGCATCAATTCAAGTGCCTCTATGTAGTATGTGTCTCTAAAACGTTTGTTGAATAAACAAAATTACAAGGGGCCAAAGATCAAAGGGATACATGAAGTTAAGTACTCTTTGCCCACTTCAAAAGATCTGCCTGCTTCGGTAAGTTCCACCACTAAAGTTTTTCTGGCTTTCAATGGACCCAAAGGTAACCCTAGATGCTCAAAGGTTCTGCAAGCAAAGCAAAAATTCAAGCAGCTTCTACCAAAAAGTACAAACTTCAAGACCAGGACTATTTAAGGGTGTTGTTTGTTACCAGTATCTGGAACGTCTTTCCTCCCCCTCGCCACTTGTTTAATCCTGAACCAGCTTCTAATGTCCCCCTCAAATGCCATCTACTCTAGGAAACCTTTGCTGACGATTTGTCAGCAGCAGTCTTTCCCTTGCCCTGACCTCAATAAACACAACTGTATTGATATAAAAGGATATATTACAAGAAAATTAGAAGAACACAGGACATATTGCCTCTCAGATTTATAGATAGTCAAATAATTTATGAACAAACAAGAGATAGCAAAGTTAGGTGTAAAATAGATAATTTTGGTTACATAAAAAGGTTTTGTACAAATAAAACCAGTGTTGCCAAGAGCAGAAGGAAAGCAGAAAATTGGGGAAAAGTTTATAGACAGTTTCTGAGATAAAGGTCTCATATCTCAAATATTTAAAGAATTTTGTCAAATCTTTAAGAATACGAGTCATTCCCCAATTAATAAAATAGTCAAAGGATATAAAAAGGCAGCTTTTCAATGAAGAAATCAAAAGAATTTATAATCACATAAAAATGCTCCAAATTGGGGCAGCTAGGTAGTACAGTGGATAGAGCTCCAGTCTGAGAGTCAGAAGGACCTGGCCTCAGACACATAACACTTACTAGCTGTGACTCTGGGCAAGTCACTTAACCCTGACTGCCTCACCAAAAAACAAAATATAACAAAAAAAACCCCTCTAAATTATTATTGATTAGAAAAATGCAAATTAAAACCTTGAGATATCATTTTATATCTATCAGATTGGCTAAAATGATAGAAGGGGGAAAGCAACAATTGTTGGAGAGGATGTGGAAAAGCTGGGACACTAATTCACTATTGGTGGAACTGTGAACTAATTCAACCATTTTGGAGAGCAATATGGAATTATGCCCAAACCCAGCAACACCAATAGTAGGTTTGTTTTCTCAAGATGAGTAGGGAAAAAGAACCTATATGTTCTAAAGTATTGATAGTACTTCTATTTGTAATGGTAAAGAACAGGAAATCTGGGGGATGCTCGTCAATTGGGGAATAGCTAAATGAGATGTGGTTCATGATCATGATGGAATACTACTGTGCTATGAGAAATGATAAGCTTGTGGATTTTAGAAGAACATAGACTTGCATAAAATAATGAAGAATGAAATGAGCAGAGCCAAGAGAACACTGTAAACAGTAAGAGCAATATTATTGAAAGAATTGTGGGTGACTAAATCATTTTGAGTATTATAAATACTCAAATCAACTACAAAAGACATATGAAGGAAGATGCTATCTGCCTCCAGAGAAAGAAATGATAAATAGAAGTATGTATATTATGGTTATATATACATATATACATATATGTATACACACACACACATACTTGTGTCTAATGGTAGCCATCTCTAGGGTGGGGTGAGGAAGGAGGGAAAAAATATAAAAAGTACACAGCAGAGAATAAAAGAAATTTTAGAAAGAAGCATAGAAAGCAGAGTAGCTTTGAAAACAATTTGTAGTACTTATTATGTAGTTTTTCAAAAAAAGTAAAGTCTGAAATGTAAATTCATGGTTTTATAATGAATCCTCTTTTTATGTTGTATTGCGTAAGTGGAAATGGTTTTTTTCATCTTTATGTATTTAAGTTCAAAATTAATTTAAAAAAACCCTACTGTGAACCTCTTGAATGCATTTCATTGGTTATTTTGTCTTAGAGTTGTGCACCATGCACTGTGTGAGATCCATAAGGGCAGGCACTGGATCCAACCTGATTCTATTTCCCTCAGTGTCTCACACAATGATCTGTCAAAGAGTGGGCACTTTGTTTAAAAGGCTGGAAAGTGGCTGGGTTGTTAAGGATCCATCTAGCTTAGGAAGGCTTTACAAGAGATAATCAGAATACTGCAAGATGCCATCAGTTAAGTGGGGAAGACTGAGATCTTTGTCAGCAGAGGAAGCACCCACACTGAAGGAGCCCTGGAGCTTTGAAGTTTGAAAAGGAAGGAAGGTTGCTTCACATTCAAAGTCATCGTATATTTGGCTGAGATGGGTAATCAGCAGGTGATGAGTACTTCCCAAAGTAATCAATAGTTTTCTTCTCCAATTTCACCTTCTGTCGATCCATCAAGTTGTCTCTGGAAATCATCTGACAAGCCAGTTTCCTCCGTAATGTGTGGACAATAACACTTTCACCCAGGTCTGAATCTCTCCTGGCAGAATGGTCAGGAACTGCTCCAGCATCAGCCAACCCAGGACCTCTTCTTTTTTGTGCTTGTCATATCTCAGCCACCTTTGATAGAGCTCTTAAAGATGTTTCCAGGTCTCATGAGTCCCATAATAAGTCTCCTGATATTGAAACTCTCAAAGTCATTGATGGAAGATCTCACTAATAGTAGGGATATTCCCTCAAAGGTTGGATCTCCGTCTCCAAGACTGGTTCTCCTCCTGCTCTTGGGCATCCAAGACTTTAGAAATCAGGGCTGAAACTTCAGTAATTACTGTCCTTACTTAGGAGCTGATGTCCTCACATCAGCTGGCTTCTCCCCAGCAAAGTGGCTTGGGAAGGATGTGTCATCTACTGAGACACGAAAGAATACTGTTAACATAGTAGTCTGCTGTGAAAACAAGTATCTATGGTAATAAAAGTCAGGGCTCTTCTCTGATAGAAAAGCTTCTGAAACAATAGCTCCCATTTTTAAAGTACTTTATGGTTTACAAAACATCTTCCTTACAACCTTCTGAGGCAGGTAGTGAAAGCAGTATTATTCTCCCTTTGTAAATGAGGAAAGTGGGACTCAAAGGATTAAGTGACTTGCCCAGGGTCACAGAGCTAGTTATTTCTAACACAGTATTTTTTTTCCCCCAGAATCAGTCAAAATGAATTTATTAAGTACCTACTATGTGCCAGGTATTCTAACCCAATATTTCACCATCTTTATCCAGTCCTACCATATTACCTCTTCTCAGGAACACTGTAGAAATGTGTGATTTTGGCAGGGTTAGGACTAGATGATAGACCTTCCAGCCCTGAGATTCTTGATTTTTACAAGAAATCTAAGTTCCTCCCCAGCAGCTATCCAGGGTATGTGCTCTGCTACTGGCAAAGTCTGAGTGCTAGGCATCCAGG